TTTTCATGTCCAGCTTGTTTCAGGGCATGTTCAGCTACTGCCGATTTTTCCAGTTGTTTTAGTCTGCCGTGTCTTTCATGTTCTTTGATTCTGTTGTGAATGCTGTGTTTTGTGGTCCCAATATATACTTGAAATGTGTATGCTGTACCTACAACTTACTTTAACATAGTAAGTCATAATTGGAGTAGCCCACTTGACTCAGTGGAACTTAGTGATTCACTAAATCCTCATTGATTAAATGGACCTACTCTAGTGTGATTTATTAGGCGTAAACAACAGGGTTTTGGCCACTGCTTCAAAATACCTGTCTTCCAGAACTATATACCGAATAACACTACCTTGGCCCTATAAAAGTAAATACATTTTGTTTCCTGTAATGCAGAGAAGCTAAAAATGAGCATTGTCAGGAGCCTTTGGCACTTATCTCAACTTTTGGGTGTTATAGTTGACAATAATCAAGAGTCCAGAAGTTGAGAACCATTGCAAATTGGCCAGTCTGAGTTATGCTTCTAAAGTGTAGCACTGTAAAGTCTCACTGAAAGTACTGTATGTATGGGGTTAGTATAGTAAAACGTGTCTTCATAGCTTTTGCAACATCATCTATGGCTGCTGCTGAGATTGTAGCAGGCATTTCCTATTGCACTCACATAAGTTCAAAAGCACTAGCCGCAGCTTAAAAAAACCTCTTGTTTTGGTCTCTTATGGATAGTGTTAGAAAAGCAATGTTATTGGAGGGTAACTGAAACCCAGCAACTTCTGTATGAGGTAAAGCTGGGATGATTTGCATGGCCTTTCCTTTCTAGATCAAGTAAGATCCAGGCTGTCACTGAAGGCTCTAATGAACTGGCTGTGTAGTGGTTGGTTGTAAAACGGCTTAAATAAAATAAAGATGAGTTAAAATGACTAATGAATGTAGGGGAAAAGCTTTAAAGCAAACCAAAGTATGTGATATCTCTTTTTCTTATAGCAGAAGCAGTGCTGTTGAACTGGCCAGAAATAACTGGATTTAGAATGTAGGTGTTTAGCTATCTGTGTTTGTCAGTTCAACTGCTAGGCCCCTATGGAATAAGGTTGGGTTACCCAATATAAATAAAATATTTGAA